GCACATTTGGGCGGCATTATGCTAATATTTCCACATAGTGAGGTAGATATGTGGGGGCGTGTTAGAACGAGCCGTTTTAAGGGGGCGTGGCAGTCTTAACTTTGATAAAGAATATCTCTTTGGTTTTGAGACTTTAGTCTTTGCAACTTCAGGGATCTTATCTATGCACAAACAGCTTGTAACACTCCAAAGAGAAAGGAAAACTTGAAATCGCATCATATGACCCCTTTAATGTCTTTGTTCCATTCAGACTTCATATTTAATAAACAACAACAGATTCTTTCAATTTTTTTTGTCACGTAACAATCAAGCCAAGAAAATCACAGGCTTTAGTGGTCATGATTTTACAGTTTTATAGACCAATTTCGGTGTTTGCAAAAAGTGATTAGGTTGTTTGTGGGCGGAGCCTATCTGGTGGCAGAAAATGACAGTTTTAAAGTAGCAGTCTATGGAAGCCATGGAATAAAAGAATAAAAAAAAAAGAGGTAATTTTGAGTTTATATTTCAAAATTCTGACTTTTTTTCTCACAATTCTGGTATCGGCTCAGAATCACAAGTTTATATCCCACACTTCTGCCTTTTTTTCCCCTCAGAACTCACAATTGTTGAGTTAAATGGAGTTATAAAGTCCTTACTATGATATATAAACTTGCATTTGAGAGAAAAACTCAGAATTTTTACATAAAATAGGTAAATATTATGTGAAATGTTGTTGTTCATGCTGTAGGGCTAATACAATATGTCCCCTATGAACTGCATATGCGAATATTATGCAGACCTATTGTTTAAATCAAATTTACGCTCTAAAAAGTAGGGTGATCATAGGAGGTTTCATCCATAGTCTGTCCGTTTAAATATCTGTGTTTAGCTTCAAATAGCATCTTTGACGACATTATTCTATAAAAATGATTTGCATTCCGATTCTGACATCCCACGGCACAACAATAGATTTTTTCTCCTATTCCATGGATTTTACTTGTTTCCCTCTACTTGTTAACAGTGTTTTTCTGCCACCACAATGCGCGCGCAGCTGCAAGTGACATAACTGTGGCGTCTACTCCAAATTGGTCTATGGAGCGCATCTTTTCTTTTTTTATGATATGCCTTTGACGTTGTGTCACACAACTCAAATGTATCTAGACATGCAGGCTTCCATGTTTTGATTTAATGGCACCACATATGCACTGATATGTCAGTTGTCTGGTAATCACTGGCTGCGCTTTGAAAGCTCAGCAGCAAACAAGATCAAAGTTGCATTTGTTTGAAATCGAGTCTCGCTTGACCAGCATGCAGTGCTTCACTCCATAGAGGTCATCATTTGCTCACCCTCATGTTGCTCGAAACCTATGTGAGTTTCTTGATTCTGGGGAACAATATTTGAAGATTTACAATGAGCAGACAATGAAGCTTTCATGATAGAAAAACATGACATAAAACGTGTACCATATTCCAAGTCATCTAAAACCATACAATAGTTTTGTGTGATTAAAATTTAAGTCAATATTAAATGAAAATCATGACATCTGCCCTACCTCTTCTTGGTGAGTTCATAGGGTTATAAGAGAAGTGGCAGTGTTGCCTAATTCGTGTTCCTTTTCGATTCATTTTTTTTTAGTTGGTTCACAATGATCCATTCACAAATCAGACTGAACGGGTTCCTGAGTAACTGACTAATTGATCCGGTCTCTGCAGTTCCTTGTGAAGTCACATAATGATGTACATTTCGGTTTCTAACACAAAGCTGTCATATAGTTTCAGAAGACTTGGAGCCACTCTGTATTGTTCTAGACATCAATGGCAGTTGTGGTTAATGGGACACTAAACCAGATTTAGTTTTTATGAGCGCTGATGGCCTGAGATTTCAATAATGGGTGACTGCTTCTATGTGGCTTCTCAGTCCTCCTTAAAAGATGAATATTGCTTCAGGTTTTTGATGGAATCAAAAAAGAAAACAATATGAAAACAAAAACATCTCTCTTTTTTCCCCCCTCTACAGATCAATCGTGCCCCGAGTTTTGGGACAGATCAAAAGATTGATTACGATGTGAAGAAGGGGGTTTTGATCAACACCCTGAAACTGCTCAACATCAGGTATGAAGCAATGCTCTCTCCAGAGTCCCATTAGAAAGAGAAAGAAAGAGTTAGTCAGAAATCTCTCTCTCCATTCCCAGCTGTCCACCAGTCTTAAGTGTTTTCGAAAATATTGATTTCTTGATCTCTAGAAGTTACTTGAAACTCATTGATGGGTCCACATGCACTTGGTTTTACTGCTACTGTTTGATTTGGAAGAAGAATTTTGGACACTTAAGCCACACTTAAAAATATCTAAAGGTCACAGGTTTACATGACAAACTATCAAAACAAGTGACATCTTCAAACTAATAGTGCCAGGCCAACCTTTTGAACTATCTATCTTTTCACAGAACTGAGCCATTTTGGTAGTGACTTTAATGCAACTGATTCTGATTTTTAGTAGATGCGTGACATCAGCTTGTACAGGTTTGTTAACTAAGGACAAATTCAACCAAGATTTGACAACCACAAAATGTCACAATAATGTTCTTAATTTTGAAACAATCAAACTAACATAAAACAATGTCACTTGTGTTTTTTTGTGTGGAACGGCTGCATTTGTGTGAGTTTAAAGAAGTGTTCTTGGTGGATGAGTTGGTTGATGACTTTGTTGTGAAGTTCTAGCGACTCGCTATTTGAAAAAAAAAAAAAGTGTTATTTTTGCCTAAAGTTGAATAAGATGCCAAAAATTGTTAAAATCATCCTTTAAGCGGTGGGACTACTTTGCTAGGTGTATAAGTATACAAAGTGCTTTACTTAAAGTGTAGTATGTCTCTTTCCTCTGTGGCAAATCTTGGTAAATCGTGTTGCGTGATTCATTTAAATACTCTCCTCCCATAAATTTTGCATCTGAAAGGGGCACTCCTACAAATGCATAATGCCAGCCATGAAAATAAGTGTGTCCACACCTTTTCATAGCTACTTTTTAAGAAATAGTGACAGCAGTTTTTTAATTCCAAAGGAGGGTTTGCGCTGGCGCAAACTGTTAGTAACTCTGGCCCATAATATGGTCTCATGGCTATAATTTTGATCTAATTGTGTATTTTTTAATGTTTATTACTGTGCCATATAATCACCCAATACACTTCAGTTGTATGTTTCAGTAAATGTATTACTGTAAATATTGATGGTAATACTCATTTTTTTCAAACTGTTTTCTATGATCGTATTGTATTTATCCTGAAGGGTGTGTTTATGTGAGGATTGTGTGTTTTTGTGGGAATGTCGTGTATGTTCGCTTGTGCATACTTCTTAAGTTTGTGTGATTGCCTGTGCGTGTAGTTGTATGTCACTACACAGGGTTTCCTGTGATTGATTATCATAGACCTGGCCTTCAAATCCCAGGTCCACCTTTTGTACTAAATATACCAGAGTGGCCCAACAATGGTCCTAGAGTAGGAAACAACAGCAGCCAAACTCAATCCAGCAGTGGATCAGATTTCAGGATGCATTGCTGCCATTCTGTCTCAGTGATTTTCTTGGAAGTCTCCACAGACGTTTACTGTGTCCCAACTGATCCAGCTGAGTTCTTACCAGTAACATATCAAAGCGACTCCCGTGTTATTTCCCCAGCAGTGGCAGGACAAAACCAATAACTCAGCAACAAGGACTCAGAAGTGTGAAAGTTGTATCAATAAAACGAGAGGGTTCCCCAGTGGTTTAGGAGCCCACTGACCCTGAGTGGCCACTTCCAACAGCAAATTTGAAGGGCCAGTGAGCGATGAAATCTTGAAGTTCTGAATGCTGTCAAGTCGAGTGATGTATGGAGTCTCGGAGTCTGTCAGGATTTCGTCTGGGAGTTTGGGCTACTTTGAGTGCTATTACAGAGCATTTCCTTTTATTTTATTGTTATTTTTTTTTTACCTAGAGCGAGCGATAAACGACGGAATTTGGCCCAGCAGAAGGCAGAAGCCCAGCGACGGCTGTATGGACAGGGATCAATGCGCAAACTGACGGCTGGATCATCGGAATGGGAGAGACAACGCCACCTACTGGAGCGCAGGAGAGAAGAGCTGGTGAGGCCTGTTTAGTAATTAGAAAGCAACATTTTATAATGTTTGGTGTTGGAGCCATGGATTAGTAGTTTGTGCACTTGTAGAAAAAGAAGAACCCAAAAAGAACCCAAAAGTTACATTTTTGGCAACTGTAAAGGCCCTTTCATACCAAAAGTGAAATTAAGAAGGAAGTGTCTCTGCACCTTACTCCCAATTTCTCTCAACATGGGGACAGGAGAGCTGTCAGTGAATAAATGGGAAAACAAAATAACTTGCATTACTTATTTGAAAAAGTAACTCTGTTACTTTTTTGTAAATTTAAAAGTAATGTGTTACTTTACTAGTCGCTTGAAAAAGTAATCTGATTACGTAACTTGCGTTACTCCCAACACTGATAAAAAGTGGCAAACCCCCCAAAACCGAAAAAGAAAAAAAGATATTTAAATATTCATTTTCCGCATAGGTACAGACAAAGCACGTTTTCCAGGAAGTTCAGTAAGTAGAAGGTGCTTTGTGCACCAGTTCTTGATTGGTCTTTCGGTCAATTTTTTATTATATAAAGAGATGAATGAGGTTGAGATGACTGCAGGTAGGTGGTATTTTAAAGGGCAAAGCTAGACGCAAAAGAAGAGTGAGATTTGGGGATTGGGGGCTGAGCGAATATGCCTGTACCGAGTGTCTCTGCACCTTACTCCCAATTTCTCTCAACACGGGGACAGGAGAGCTGTCAGTGAATAAATGGGAAAACAAAATAACTTGCATTACTTATTTGAAAAAGTAACTCTGTTACTTTTTTGTAAATTTAAAAGTAATGTGTTACTTTACTAGTCGCTTGAAAAAGTAATCTGATTACGTAACTTGCGTTACTCCCAACACTGATAAAAAGTGGCAAACCCCCCAAAACCGAAAAAGAAAAAAAGATATTTAAATATTCATTTTCCGCATAGGTACAGACAAAGCACGTTTTCCAGGAAGTTCAGTAAGTAGAAGGTGCTTTGTGCACCAGTTCTTGATTGGTCTTTCGATCAATTTTTTATTATATAAAGAGATGAATGAGGTTGAGATGACTGCAGGTAGGTGGTATTTTAAAGGGCAAAGCTAGACGCAAAAGAAGAGTGAGATTTGGGGATTGGGGGCTGAGCGAATATGCCTGTACCAGCATTTAGCAGAGATCAGTGACTATTATAGAAGACACCCTGCTGCGCCACTGCAAATTGACCAGCTGACCTTTCCACAATTATAATTTTTGATGTATTAAAATGGTACAGTGGGAGTTAAATCTATATGAATTATGAATGACCGCCTGTATTAACAAGTGTAGAGGAGAGGCTGTTATTCGCGCCCACTAACTCTCAGACTTCATTAAGGTGCCTCGTAATATGGGAAACGAGTCATTTGGTGCCATTGCTATTGGGTTTTGGGTGGCTAAATTACACTGCAGTATAGCACTAACAGAAACGGGGCTTTATTTCTTTGTTGTTCTACCTGCTCCTCAGCGCTTATTCACTTGTGTTGTGTTTTCAGAAAGAAAGACTGGCCCAAGTCCGCAAGCAGGTCTCCAGGGACGAGCACGAAAAGCGGCACCTGGGGAACTATAGGTAGGGAAGCCGCTTTGACGATTGTTATGCTGTAAGAATGCCCGCTTACACCTGTGGGGTCTCTTGTGGCTTGGTTTGGGATGTGACTGTATGAAACAATTTCTTAGTCTCTCATGTGAGGACAAAACGAGGACAAGAGTTGTCCTGAAACTTGAAATATTCTGCCTTCGTAGGCAGAAAAGGGGGATAATAAGGCACCAAAGCATGTTAGAATCCAGTTTTGGGTAACATTCTGTTTATTAATATAAGTGAAAACATTACATTTGAGCTTTATTCCTGTAAAAAAAAAAATGTATACATGCATACTTAGGTCAAAGCCAAAAAGGGGTTTTCAAACATTTACAGTTTAATACAGCTTTAAAATCATCCCATACTTTAGATTGTGTCCTGTTTGTTTGTTTGTTTATTTTTCTGAGCAAAAAATAATGTCTGTCATACATTTTTACCATGATTTACAGAATGTCATTCAGTGTAACAACAAATACAATAAAAAATCTGGCATTTTTAGAAGTAGAATCATTAGATGTCATTAAAAGACTCTATTGAAGGATGACAGTGCAGCCCCCAAAACCTAATTAATTGTAATTTTAAATCTTTACCAACCTTTGCCACTATCCTTTGCCACTATCCTAAATCCACTAGATTTAGCCCATTTGTCATCAAGAATTATTATTTTATGTTTTTATTTATTTTTTAATCAATTAAAATGTAATAAAATCTAGTAGGATCACTTTTTATTTGACATATTTTAATAAGTACAGGCCAGGATACGTATGTTGTTTTATTTTTACATAAATATATCTGTTATGCTGAATGACAACGGAACATAATTTCACCCATATTTTGCCATTTTGGGTCAAATTATGTTCCATCACTTGTGTAAATTAAATTTTGATGTCTCGTCTTTGACCCACATACAAGGCCAAAGTAAATTATAGACAACATTATAGAAAATCTGTAATTAAATTCAAATTTATTTGCAGGATACAATTTATTTTCTACCTCACTTATGACTGCTAATTTGAGAGCGCTGGTCTAGAAGGACCAAAAGTTGTCAGCATTTTATTGTCTATATCTGTCAGAGATTGCTTGCTTCAGAACATTAAGTGACTCCAGGTCACTACTTTAATGTTTTGTAAAGAAGCCAAATGCTTCTTGCTTTTATTACTTTTGTCATTTGTTACATTCAAATTCAGACACTAAGATCAGCCAGACCTGCCATACACAAGCATCTTGACTAACCCTTTGTATTTACCATAGAGGGTGGCTTCTTCATAGAGAAATTGCAGCATTTAGCATCTTGCTGCGATTTTTCACTCAGAAAAAAAAAAATGCAGTCACTTTGTAATTGCAACAAATCGCTTCTTAATACGGAGCCTCCACGTCAGAGCCTCAGAGGAGGAATACGAAACGAATGCCTCTTCCTAAATAGGTCATTTTATGCCTATGCCTGTAACTGCTGTTCTGTTCAACTCTAAATAAAAACAGCCCAAAAGATGCTGAAACATGAAAAAAAAAAGTGTTTGAGGTTTGTGGGTCAGACCCAGATTTCAAACATGTGCCATATGCCGAAGACTAAGCCCACTTACTCTTACTAGATTACTTCTCCCACATAAGTTTGTCCATCGTGCTTGTAGCTCTTAATGGATTTGGTTCGGTTTATCGTCTGATCTGAACATTTACATCTACATTTACTTGAGCTTTTGATTACGTTGAAGCCGGAATCCAAAAGAGCCATTTTAAATGTCACACGCCAAGTGAGTTTTAGTTTATTAGGCTGAACTGTGGAAATATGTCGCTCGCTCCACTTTCACTGTTTATTTAGATTGAGGTGCCACCATTATTTTGGTCAGTGCTTCTCAGATGTTGGGTCAGACTGGGATGCTAACTATTTAATTGTGTGCATTATATAAAATTCTTTTTAGACAGTGTTCTGGAATACTTGATGCTGATTGGTCAAATGCTGCATTCTGCATTTCAATATTCTTGGTTTCTTTATTTGGTAAGTAGTCAGTCTAATAAGCAGGATCATTCTTGCATTCTGACAATCATTATTTCCAAATAAACCACTTCAGGATGGTACAAGTTCATCTTGACTCTACATTGTGGCTTACATGATCAACTTTTAAAGGGAGGCTAAATACTTCCCACATATTTTGTTGTTGATGTCAATGGCTATCCTGTCAAACTGTATGGTATTTTTTGCACAAATACATGTGTCACCTCTTAAATAGCTAATACTAATACAATATGTATTTGTTTAACCGGTAAATCACATTTTTTAAGAACTAACAATGAAAAATACTTATAAAACATTTATTAATCTTAGTTATTGTTAATTTCAACATTTAGTACATTACATTATTTTCGATCAAAAGTTGTATCTGGCAATATTATTTAAAAGACCTGAGCTAACATGAACTAACTAAGAAAAGTTGTGTTTTTATTAGCTAATGTTAATAAAGATTAATACATCCTGTAACAATATATTGCTTATTGCTCAAATGTAAAGTGTTGCCATTAATATTAATACATTTCAGGGTTTTGTTGGCATCATTTTGGTACCGTAGCAGGTCGCCATCTGATGTCTGACGTAAAAATCTGAGTCCTGAAGCTCAGCCAGTTGCTGGTTTTGATTATATCCCCGACCCAATATGGCGCTGATCTGAAGATCCATCACACAGATATAGGCAAAGGTTTACATGTCTCTGGCTTTTGTTTAGTCTTAACGTCTACTATAAAGACAAGTTTATTAATCGTTATTATATACACAGCATTAATGGACAAATGCATATGTGAAAAGAACGATTGAGGTTTGTTTAAGTGATTAGAAAAGCAGGCAGACCAGGCTGTTAAATCAGATAATCAGATAAAACTCTCTCCTTCTCTCTCTCTCTCCCTCTCTCCGTACAGACGTATTTACCCCCCAGATGACAAGCTGCTCTTGGAGAAATATGAGAGTCTCCTTTCAGCTGCCTTTCAGACATTCCTCGCTGGGCGAGCAGCTTCACTTCAAAAGGAAATGAATAATCCACTGAAACGAATGAAGGCATGTACCTGAGACGCAACTGAACAATCTTTTGCTCCTATTCCTTCTTTCTCTCTCTTTTCTACTTGCTCTGTTGCATTTAAAATAAGAAATGTGGACGTAGATGTAGACTAACTCTTGTTGTGGCCATCTGGTTTTCATTAGTGCAGTTTAAGGCAACCATCAGCATTGCTATTGCTCATTCATAGGGTTAGGGATTTAAACAAACCGTTTGAGCTACGGACATGAATGATACCTCAAAAACCACGAGGTTGCTATTACTATAAGCTCTGAGACTTTTTGCCTAGTAGATGATAAATCTAGCCCATTGACTGACTGTAAAGGCCATACAGAATCTAGACAATCTATAGGCAGTGTTGAGAAATCTGTTGCTTTTCAAACTAACAGCTACTCGTAATTTAAAATAGCTGAACTGTAGTCAAGCTAGCCGTTGTGGAAAAGTAGTTGGCGACACTACAGGCTATAAAAAATGTAGCCAACTGCAATTTACTGTATGTGGTACAAAAACAGCGAGGATCTATAGAAAGCCTTAAAGGCTTAGTTCACCCAAAAAAGAAAATTCTGTCATTAATTACTCACCCTCATGTTGTTTCAAACCCGTAAGACCTTCGTTCATCTTCGGAACACAAATTACGATATTTTTGATGGAATCTGAGAGCTGTCTGACCCTGCATAGACAGCAACGCAACTGAAATGTTCCCAAGTCCAGAAACGTAGTAAGGAGATCCGTAAAATAATCCATGTGACATCAGGGGTTCAACCACAATTATATGAAGCTACGAGAATACTTTTTGTGCGCAAAAGAAAAAAAAAGACTTTATTCAACAATTCGTCTCCTCCACATCACCCTGATGCTATTTTGGGGAATATCCGCTGGATGTAAACAACGTATGCTGTTCTGTTTCCTACTATATGATTTGATCTGAACGGAAACAGCGTATCCGTGTGACGTAACTGACACAGAACAGCATACGCTGTTTACGTCCAGCGGATATTCTCCAAAATGGCACTACAGGGCGATGCGGAGGATACAAATTGTTGAATAAAGTTCTTTTTTTTTCTTTTCAAGATCTCCTTGCTACATTTCTGGACTTGGGAACATTTCAGTTGTATTGCTGTCTATGCAGGGTCAGACAGCTCTCAGATTCCATCAAAAATATCTTAATTTGTGTTCCGAAGATGAACGAAGGTCTTACGGGTTTGAAACGACATGAGGGTGAGTAATTAATGACAGAATTTTCATTTTTGGGTGAACTATCCCTTTAATAAAAAAGAACTAAGTATTAACATTTAAAATAAGAATAAAGTCACTCTGTGAAATTTAAAGCTGGATTTGCAAGATATACACTGTTGTAAAATATGCTGTCTATCTTCAACAAATGATAAGCGACAGACTGGAAGTTATTCATTTCCAATGGAGAATAATGTGGGCTGCGTGGATTTCCGACCATATGTTTATGTAGAAATTTCAATCATTATTTATGTGGATTAGCTCTAGAAAACCAACCTGTTTTTCTTTTAAATGTACCGTGTGTCATTTGTTTTTTTGTGGGGTTTTTTGTCATTCCAATCATTAATTTTACCATGGTAAATAAGAGGAGGGTGACGGTTGCTTCATGACTCGCATGATTTTATGGGATCTTATTTTAAAGTTCCATGCGAAATGCAATAATCGTACGCAAATGTCAGAGGTAGTGGAAAGGTGGCGTAAAACATAAAAATTGTAATTACGAGAAATGTTGCAATTGTGAGAATTATTAAACCTCATGAGATTGACAGCATTAAACCATATTTAATCAGACTGATTTACTCTAAAAACACCATAATGACCTAAAACTACCACGTGACTAAATATGTTGTTTTTTCAAATACTACATTTAGCTAATAAATATTGTAATAATAAATATATACAAGGTCCGTACAAGTGTTTTTGAATTTAAATCCCAAAGAAAAGAAAACCTGCAAAGCCTCGGCAACTATCATGACATCTTTTTTATTATAAAATATACAGTAAAAATGTAATTGTTGCGTAATGCTTTAAAAGCTTTATTAGCTTTATATACAAATTGTCCTACTGCATTTCTAAGCAGTTTCACTTTTTTTATGAAAGCCTCTGTTCTAAGATTCTCTGTTCAGCTGGAGTTCATTATTGTACTGCGCAACCTCTCCGAAACCTCTGGATGTTCATTTTACAGGGATTTTCAAGGCCGGATCTGTGTACCCATGCATATGAATGTGGCATATTGTTGGAAGGGTTTGGTCCTCATAGCTCACATTGATGGAATCTGAAATCTGACTTTGGAGTGGGGTTGAATGGAGATGGTTGTTAGGCAGGTTGTAGTTTTGCGCCGGGAGCCGTCTGCTGATATGGCAGGGGAGCGTGTGAGCTGTTTCCTACGGCGCTGGTGTCTGGCGTATTTGGGAAAGATTCAAGAGCCAGAGTTTGTGCCATTGCCATGTGGTCTTTGACCTTCCTGTCTGTCAGTTTGTTAATGTCGCTTCAGTTTCTCAGCAACCCTGAGCTTTTAACATTAGGGCCTGTCTACCCCTTTACAAGTTTACAAAGGTTGGGAAAGTTACTCAGAATAAGTCATTACTAATAGCTAATTACGTTTCTAGTTTTTCAGGGGAATTCTTTACTAATTACTCTGTCTAAACAGTAATCACATTACTCTTCACTATGTACTTACTATTACTGCCAAAATGGCTTGTTCAAGAATCACTGGATTACAATCACTGGCCAAATTTACATGTCAAAAGCACCTATTTGATGTTCGGAAACTTGACCTACTCCATCATGTTTGAGTAAAAGAGAGAACGCAGGATAAATGCTATTACTCCTAAACACTAGAAGAACTACCAACAAGAGTAAACTGTGGGGAAACTGTGTGTAGCACTTGTCACTTTGTATATTCTTAAAGGGATAGCTTACCCCAAAATGGAAATTACCCCATGGTTTACTCAGCCTCAAGCCATCCTAGGTGTATAAGACTTTCTTCTTTCAGGCAAATACAATTGGAGGTATACTAAAAAATATACTGGCTTTTCCAAGCTTTAAAATAGCAGTGAATAGTGGTCGAGATTTTGAAGCAAAATAAACATTCTTAAGTGAAATAAACATACACATTCAGCATGGATTGATTTTTAGCTGTCACAATGTAATGCAAGTGGTGCAAAAAGGCTGTTTTTGAAAGATAGGGCAGTACAAACTATACTGGACCCGAAAGAAAGCTCACAGCAAAGCACTGCTACTCATTTCACATGCAAAGATGCATTTACATCTTAAAAGCACAGCAGCAAAAAAAAAATGCCAAGGGTCACAGAGAGGGAAAATGGAAAATGGAAAATGGTCATGAAAAACTAAACTATGTCATTAAAAAATTTGTATAGTATTGTGAAGTGATATTGTGTGAAACATTTTGTGGGAACAGGTCTGCTAAGATAGTTTTGGATAATTTAATTTTAAATTTCTTTTATTTCTAACTTTCCGAAAAAAAATAAATAAATCTAGATATCAGGATTTGTCAGATTAGGTTTCTTCTTGCCATAACGTAATGATAGGAAATATCTTGAAATGTCCTAAATACATAAACAAAAAAATACGTAAACAATAAATTCCAGTAGCATAACTGCATATATGGCACTTAATGTCCTAGTTTTTTGTAGCTTGTAGATAAATACATGGATTTATACATGGATACATAAATACATAGAATAGCTCACATAAAATAAAAGTGGAAATATACGATTCATATTGATTATGTCACAATGTCTTTTTTTAATGATTTAATTGTATTTTCATTGAACTATTAATTTTTTGTGTGAAAGTTTTGTTTAATGATAAGATTAAAGAAACATTCTTAAGTGAAATAAACATACACATTCAGCATGGATTGATTTTTAGCTGTCACAATGTAATGCAAGTGGTGCAAAAAGGCTGTTTTTGAAAGATAGGGCAGTACAAACTATACTGGACCCGAAAGAAAGCTCACAGCAAAGCACTGCTACTCATTTCACATGCAAAGATGCATTTACATCTTAAAAGCACAGCAGCAAAAAAAAATGCCAAGGGTCACAGAGAGGGTGGAAAATGGTCATGAAAAACTAAACTATGTCATTAAAAAATTTGTATAGTATTGTGAAGTGATATTGTGTGAAACATTTTGTGGGAACAGGTCTGCTAAGATAGTTTTGGATAATTTAATTTAAAATTTCTTTTATTTCTAACTTTCCGAAAAAAAATTAATAAATCTAGATATCAGGATTTGTCAGATTAGGTTTCTTCTTGCCATAACGTAATGATAGGAAATATCTTGAAATGTCCTAAATACATAAACAAAAAAATACGTAAACAATAAATTCCAGTAGCATAACTGCATATATGGCACTTAATGTCCTAGTTTATTGTAGCTTGTAGATAAATACATGGATTTATACATGGATACATAAATACATAGAATAGCTCACATAAAATAAAAGTGGAAATATACGATTCATATTGATTATGTCACGTCTTTTTTTAATGATTTAATTGTATTTTCATTGAACTATTAATTTTTTGTGTGAAAGTTTTGTTTAATGATAAGATAATACTACATAAAGTACCTATTCAAATTATAATCAAATACATCAATTAGGTAGAATCAAGTGCAACGTAGATGATAAGAAGAAAGGTGACACCTTATATAAACCTAAAAAAAAAAAAAAACGCATCTGGTCCATAAGCATTGAAGTACACCATGGCAATATCAAAAGAACTGCTTGAGCCCCCTCCAGAAGAAAGACTGTAGAGTCTTATGAGTCAAAAAGGGGTTTAAAGCCATTTCCAAGATATTTAAGTCCACTATTGTGCGTAATAATTGTTTCAGACGTCCAGGCTGTTCTGTCCCATCAAATTCATCCCAAGAGGAGAGTGCAAGCTGAGTTTCAGGAAGACTTGAATAAACTCCAGGGTATCGTAAAGGAATCTGCAGGAAGCTCAAGCAGCAGTCAGTGTGAATGTGCCACTGTTGTGGAAGTGAAATACATAATTTAAAGACAGCTGGAATCATTGACACTTTTTTTATGAAAAGTGTTATACTATAATTGGAATCAGTATTATTAATCATACTGATGATGAGTTTTACAGTGTTTAAATTGGCTGGTGTTGCTTGCCTGAACCATTGGCTGTGATTCTTCAAATGTAATGGAAAAAGAATTGGTTGTGTGTAATTTGTAATGCCGGGAAACTTTAATTTTGGGAGTCTTTAAATGTTATGAGCGCTTTTCTCATGTTAACTGTGCAGTGACCCCCATACTTCAAAGTCAACAACAGAGTGCTTTATTTGAAAGAAATGACAAGAAGAAATTCTACATAGATTATGATGTGCTAAACTCAAAGTGTGGTTCAGATACAGTGACTTGTAAGAAGGAATGAGCATGATTTATATTCCAGATGGATTCCTGAACTTGGGCTAAACACGTGGCTTTGATTTATGCCAAGAAATTGTTTAGGTGTCATGCAACGTACTGTTTTGATTTAGATTTTTTCCCCCCAGAAATTACTCAGTTTGATTACTCATAGTTTAGACAAGATAAAAATGTGTTTGAAATATTTTGGAATTAAGAGGCCTCACTAAAACTACATTATGTGTTTGTTCCTGATTTTGCAAAGAAAGAGCTGGCATATGTTAGGAAAATAGCTAAACCAATTATATGTTGATAATATACTACTCTTTTGGTGATATTTTATTTAGATATTTATGTATTTAATATCACTTGAGAAGGTTCAGTTAGAGCGTCCATTATTTCAACCAAACAATCACTGAAGGTAATTTCATATAAATATACATTTGGTTATAAATAATCAATATACTGTATAATCCATATGCAAATTGATAGATTTAGATAAAAAATAATCACCTATAAACTGATTCATGGAAATTAATCAAACTTACTAAAACTCCTGAAGCTTAAATGAACGATGCTATTAAAATCTCTGTCTTAACTCTCTCATACACTCACAGTCACAAAACAAATAGAGATCGAAATAGAGTACTTCACTTATTTTATTTTGACATGCAGTAAGATCACAAGTGAGGTACAAAAATGTATTCATCTAAGTGCATATCCACATGAAAAGGTTAAAAATGAAGACTTTTCTTCTGCTTTTGTTTGTGACTTGTTCTGCAGGAGCAAGATATCCTAGACCTCCTGGAGCAGTGTGAACTGGATGATGAGAAACTGATGGGAAAAACCACCAAACAAAAAGGACCTAAGGTATATATTATAAGGTATAATGTATATATACTGTATATACAAACTAGTGCTGTAAAAATTAGCATCTTAACATACATTTTCTTCCCAATTTAACGAAAAATATTAAATACAAATTTTACAAATATTTAACGCAAGTGGCCACCCCACTCACAACTGCTGCTTCAGTCTACTTTTTCTTTACAAGAATTGCATTTATTTAGACGTAGAATGTCTTTACGACCACATCAAACAGGAGACTTTTCAGACACACACTCCACTGTCAGTTACAGTAAAAATACAGTACAGATCACGGCATGCCCACTTTAGTTGAATAAAAATCCAAAATGTAGTTTTTTGTTATTTTATTGAACTTAAAGCCAGCTTAAACAATGCACAGTGTGAATTGCACACACATTATATTTCATGTAGCCTAAATCATCCATCCAGTGCATCCAACATACATTTTTTATTTGATTTAGAACGGGGTGACGTAGTGACCAGGAAGCATAAAAGCACGTGCGGTGAAACTGAGGGCCAGCTCCCACTGGGGAAGAGCAGTGTACACCGCATTACACGATGCCCGTCTCTCCTCAGTGCCCTCAGGAGATCGGTCTGCCAGCCATGCCGGTGTTCCAGGGCGCAGCGGTCTCTGGCGAGCGCTTCTCTCAGTTACCACCCGGAAACGTAGCGGTGCTAAGAGGCTCGCGACCTCCACGGAGGTCTCTAGAGCAGCTAGTACGGCTGTCCCCTGCCGGTTTGCCGCTTCAGTGCACCGAGCTATCCGCTCTAAGTGCACCAGAGGCCAGTCTCGTGAGACTGGTTCCCTTAGTATGTCACCTGGTGGTGTGGGAGCCCCTGCCAAGCATGCCTCCTTGGGTCCTGCCCTGAGCAGGCTCTGGTTCTATCAGTCGAGTCTTCCTAGCAGATGACGCGGGTCTGAGGACCGTCATTTTTAGAGAAGACTTCAGCTATGAGAGTCCTGATGCTATGGCTCAGGACCTCGGAGGGCAGGCCCCTCTGGGGAAGAGCGGTGTACACCACATCACACGGTGCCCGTCTCCCCTCAGTGCCCTCAGGAGATCAGTCTGCCAACCCTGCCGGTGTTCCAGGGCGCAGCGGTCTCCGGCCAGCACTGCTCTCTGTTACCGCCCGGAAACGTAGCGGTGCTATGAAGCTCGCGACCTCCACGGAGGTCTCTAGAGCAGCTAGTACGGCCATCCCCTGCCGGTTCGCTGCTTCAGGGCACCGAGCTAGCTGCTCTGATTACACCAGAGGTCAGTCTCGAGAGACTGATTCCCTTAGTAGACTAACGTGTCTTGGTGGGTCCTGCACACTGTAGAGTGAGGCTATAGAATCCATTTCTCCTCCGCCTCAGTTTAAATGGGGTCATCCCCACTAGGGTGGTTCCCGAGCAGGCTCTGGTCAGGGAACAGAAGTAGTTACTCTTTTGAGGATGGAGGCCATCGAGGAGGTCCCTCCTCACGTAGCAGAGTCCGGGTTCTACAGTCGGTACTTCACCGTTCCGAGGAAGGATGGAGGGTGGCGTCCTATTTTAGATCTGCGTCATTTGAACCGCTCAGTCAGGCGACTGAAGTTCAGCACACTCGCACTCAAACAAGTCTTGTCTCAGATCAAGTCCGACGACTGGTTTAGCACGATCGATCTAAAAGATGCACATGTCTCCATTCTTCCTCATCACAGGAAGTTCCTGAGGTTTGCTTTTGGGGGCAAAAGCTTACCAACACCAAGTTCTTCCTTTGGCCTTGCACTCTCACCCCACACTTTCACGACTCAACCACATCGATGATTGGTTGATATTAGCTCAATCAGAGTGGATGGCAGTTCGACATCGATATGTCGTTCTCGCTCACACAAAAGAGCTGGGGTTAAGATTTAACGTCAAGAAAAGTGTGCTTTCTCCAGTACAGAGAACCACTTATCTGGGCGTGGTGTGGGATTCGACCACGATGCAGGCACGTATGTCTCCTGCTCGGATCGAGTC